AATTAGCTGTTCCTCTGAGAGGCTAAAATAGGAGATCAGTTGATGGGCTCTGAGACTGATACTTGATCATTTCTGAAGTCAATTTTTAAAGGACAAATACCCCAAAGTTAGTGGTAGCAGCCTCTCCAATATAAATATCTGATGGGTTTTCTTAGAGGTGTATGGTAGCGAATTGACCGCCCTATGAAGTTTGGATTTTCTCATTCGTGACAGGTGTGTGGAGATATATTGATTAACTGTTAGCGGTGTCCACACAGAAAGCAATTTGCAGCAACGTGGCAACCAGATACCATCGAAGATTTTTAACCAAGCAACTGAAGCAACTACCAACCACAGGGAAGAATACTGTCGATTGACATATGAGGGGGGTGGTAAATACATTGGCAGTAACCAGCACCCAGAGCAGTAAATGTCAACTAGGGAACAAAGTGACCAGCAAATTGTTTCCAATGTAACCTTAGAACAAGGAAGTCTAACAGAAAACTTAGTCAGTTCAAGAAAATCTCACATTTGTCAGCCGGGGTTTTAGTTCCGAGTGAAGTCCTTTCATGGTTGTGTCAGATACCTGCTGCACCGAAAGTAGCTTTATTTCCATCAAACGTTAAGCAACGACTGTAATTGCCTTGAAATGCACGTTACTAGACTGGTAAGAAGCAGAAAGCAAGGTATTGTCTTAAGCTGGCCGCAAAGTAAAGCTCAACCACAGTTCAGCCATATCAGCTGATCTACTTAGCAAATATGATGGAAGCGTGGGGAAGTCCCAGTACAGACTGACACCACCAAAGATAAATCACAGCAGCAGCAAACTGGAAACGACAGTCTTCCTTTAACTTTAGTGGTACTGACATAGTTACATTCGGTCTCAGATTGCTATCACAGTTTTGCCTTGCGTTTGAGCTGTAATATATCACTGCACGATGGCAGAGGGAACTAATTGATCAGGTAATAGCTTTGGTAACACGTGGTCAGATCTTAAACGTGTCTCTCGTTCATGGGCTCCACCTTTCGCACATCAATACAGCGGCTCACTAGCTCTAGGCTGCCTCACTTATCTTGCCCCGTCCAGTCTGCAGTAATCAGCGGTCGATACATCACTGGGCAGCAAAGTGCCATGTGAGCTCTACAACCTTCCAGCTGGATTTAGGCTTATTCTTTCAGTTCAGCACAGTACTGCTTTGGGAAGAGGATTGATCCCTGCTAAGGTTTTCTTCCTTTAGACAAAGTTGCAGGAGTTTTCAGGCCTAATATCTAGGATTAGTTTTTCCTCATGTTCAGTCTGAAGATTGTACTTCTGTCCCATTGTGTTTGTTTTTGGCTTCTGTGAGCTCATCCCCCACACTTGTGGTTCATGGTGAAACCCCTCAGCAGCTCTTGAGGATGTATGACATGTTGCGGAATTCCAAACATTCCTAAAAGTGTGTGGGATTTATTTTTGTGTGTGTGTGTGTGTGTGTGTGTGTGTGTGCTGAGCACACTTGTGAACAAGTGAGTGCACATTAACCCAGATGGGTTTGTCAGCTGTGTAAATCAAAAGAAGCAGAAATGTTTATGCAAGTTCTAGCATTTGCTGCAACACCAACAAATGTATCCCACACTGAACCCTTTGTTTTTTTTGTTTTTTGTTTTTGTCATGTTCCTAATTTCTGGATGATTCAGTGAAACAGACATTTGGTCTCAGTTCCTTGAGTCCTCTTTTGGTCGTGTCGGATCATCAGGAGGAATACTCATTTTGTCCATTTCCTACTTCTGCTACTGCTTTTGGGCGGAAGGGAAGCAGGAACCCGTCTGACCCCGAGGAGTTTTTCCTTTTTACGGCACTTAATGCAGCCAGCAGAGCCTGACATGGAGGCGTCTTGTTTAAGAAAAAAAAACAGAAACTCAATTGCGCTTCAGCGGCCGTTATCTTGCCAGACTGGATGGGTGAGATGAAGAGTGTCTAACCTTCCAAGAGTTTCAAAAAACCCTGCAGAAAACAGGAAAGCCTTTCTTGTGACTGCCACTCCTTTATCTTTTCGTGAGTTTTTTCAGCTTGCATACGTGCAGCATGGAAAACAGTTCAATTATTTTGGGTTTTTGAAGAATTGTCACTCTGATTGTGTGTTTGTGTTTTATGCTGTCAAGGTGGTGGTTGATTATCTCGCTTGCCCCTGCTCCCAGCTACATATTTATTGTGCGTAGTCAGCCCGTGCATTCCTCTCTACTCCCCTTATAAACCCAGCTCAGGTGCTGACAGCCTGTCTGCTGCTGCCTGGATATTCCATAGTCTCTTTCACTCAGTCATTACTCAGCTCAGAAATATGAGATAAAGTGCCCCAGGAGCGCTAAAGCTCTCTCAGAGCCCACCTCATTCTCTGCATCTCCCTGCCGTGGAAGAGTGTACTCAGCTTGCCGGTGCTGTTGTTTTGAGCTGATTGTGCACACCGTTTGTTCCTTGTCTGCTAAAGCACTGTTTGTTCTCATTTTTTAGGATCTACTACATCTCTCCCATTGTCTTTTTTTTTTTTTTGAAGAAATGTGCAGATTGCTGGGTAATTGGACAACAAATCTGGTTGTTCTTGAGGATTTGATGCGTGAACCAGCAAAGGGACTAGGGATGCCAGGGATGTAACTAGAGCAGGAGGATCTAAGATTGCCGCCAGTGGCGATGCAATCAAGTGTTGCATCTGTCCTCCCGGCTCCCACCGCTGACCTCATATCACGGCTCTGGCAGCTAATGCAGAGTGAATCATTCTGTTCAGAAAAGGAAGAATAGAGTGCAAAGAGGGATCTGTTATTTAACTATTTGGGAAATATATAGTGAAATGGCTGAAAAGCGGGCTGTGCAGCTCACTGAGAGTGTCAGTGCAGGTAAAACATTTACCTTCGTGTAAACCAGGAAAGATCAGCCTGGCCTTTTTGCTTCGTCACGTCAGCTTTCTTGACGGACGAGTCGTTGTAGCGGCTGCGTGTCAAAGGAGAGGAAACGGCAGCGAAGGGCAGCCTGTGGTGCACTAATTTTAAGTCCTGGCCTTGCACCTTTAATTTCAAAGTGATACACATTGGTTAATTTGTGCTGTCATCAGCTTACATGTTCTGTACTTAACACCGCGGGAAACTTTGAGTCAGCAGGACGGGCGATCGTGCATGTTTTGGAGCGTTTTGCACTGCAGCCGTTCGAGAACGCAGCCCAAACAGCATCACGTTGTTTTCTTTTCTTTGGATTTAAGCTTTGGCAACCTTGAATGAATTTGTATGTCTGACAGAAATGGAGACAGTAGAGTTTACACATCACACTTGAGCTGTTTGTGATCCGAAACATCAATGGGCCTGTTTGTCTGTGCTGTTCACAGCTGCAGTGCATTAACAAAAACAACATAATCATGCAGTTTTTTTTTTTTGTTATAACAGTATTGCAAACAACATATTTGCATTTGCAGTCTTTGTATCTATAATGAATGGATCTTGCACAACGTCTCTTCGGGGCCGTGTTTATTCATTTTAAACTAACTTGTGGCGTGATATGTAGGCCAGCAGTTCTGCACAGCTAAGCACGAGCTGTTCACTAATCTGTTTATACAGCAAAAATCTGCATCCTCTTGCAATTTGGAAATTGCTATCATGGATGTAAAGGCTGGTTTATTTGTTTGTTTGTTTTGTTTGTTTGCGGTTGTTGTTTCATCTGTTTCCCTCCAGCTGTTAATCCACGCACCACATTGCATATTGCGGCGTCAGTGGTAGGTGTCTGCGTGCACGCATGAACGAGTGTGTGATTTCAACAGATGGCCTTTTGCACTGAACCCTCTGGAGGAATCTTTCCTGCTTCCTGAGGCTGTTATCACCCAACACATCTGCCGCTTTGATTCCCGCTAAAAGAAACACCGGCCGTGGAAAAGCCGGCGCTGCAGCTCTCCTGGTCAGGAGCTTTTAGCCAGCCATATGGACAGTTTGTGTATTAGTTGCGTCGATTGTTTTCTTTTGCACTGTCACCTCTCTTGTCTTCATATGGTCAAATATTTTCTTTCTTATTTCTTTTTTTCCCCTCTGTTTTGCCCCCTTAATGCTACCATTAGCTATCATCACCTCACCCACTGCTGCCACCACCTGTCTTCTATTACAGCACCCTGTTATCAAAGCCCAGTGTTTACCCTCCAGGCAGTGCTCTTTGGACTTGGTGACTGAGAGCAGTGTAGGGAAGAGCCCACAGAGATCAAACACAACAGCTCATCAGCCTGGAGCTATGCCCGTCTGAAGGGAGGTGGCTGAACAACATGTCGTTAAATTGTTACTGAATACATTGCTGCATACATGTAAATGTTTAGCTTCATATACGTCGAGTGGGCCTGTTATAGGCCACGCAGACATGCTTGATTATACCAAAAATATGATACTAGGTGTTTTTTGACATGATGATATATAAAAATGTACTTTAATTGTGTAGCGCCTTTTCAAAAAAGTGATTGGATAGATAAAAAGAAGAGTATTCATGTTGTAAATTCACATGGAGAGCCAAACGGAATAATTGGAAAGCTTTTTAAAAGGGTGCAAACAAAAAAATATAAAAAGGAAAAACTAGATTAATAGAAACAAGAGGATAGAAATAAAAAACAAAGAAGACAGAAGAAAAGGGGACAATAAATCTGCACGTAACGTTGCAAAGTTTCCTACTTAAACTAGATGTGAAATAGCAGAGGTGTGGCTGTTATCTGATCTTGAATTACAAGTGAACTGTTGCTATCAGCGCTGTGCTTTATTATTGATAATACGAATGAATTGTTGTGTTGAATCTGTCAGGTTCAGTTCTGTGAAGCAGTCTCTGAGTTTAGAAAAGCGGATATTTTGCTCTTGAATGGTGCCTTCAGGATCCGTTACATGGTGGTATCTCAGAACTGAGAGTTGGGGAGGAAATGGTCTTTGCAGTGTTTTTGGCCTGAAGCCAGCACAAAGCTGACTTGTAGATGGGGTTAAAAGGTGGATGTTATGTAAATTTTAATAGTAACTGACATTTTTATTTCTGTGCACAGGCCCAGGACAAGAGGAAAGCTCTGGAGGAAACCAAAGCCTACACCACCCAGTCCCTGGCTAGCGTGGCCTACCAGATTAATGCCTTAGCCAACAATGTGCTGCAGCTGCTGGACATCCAGGCCTCACAGCTGCGGCGCATGGAGTCCTCCATCAACCACATCTCTCAGGTCAGAAATACACACAGAAACTCCTGGCCACAGACCAAGCAGCTGTGAAGATCGCTGCCCCACGCTTTCCACTTCTCCTCTCACTTTCACACAGACTCGGTTATTTTAAGTCACAGCATGACACACTAGCATCTATGGTTCCCTTTATTGGTTTATCAGTCTTACTCAAGTCCTGACTGGTGGTCTGTTTGTTTTTATTTTATGTCAGCGTGGTTGAGAAGCATAAAAATGATGAAACAGTTCCCCCCAACAGCCATCGACATCCTCAAAACACAGGGTTAGATTTGTCATAGCTGGTTGTAATCCATTCATCCACAGCATATTACTTTTGTTTTTTAAATAAATAAGCTAAAATAACAGCATTTGAAAGCTTTATTCTGTCGCCTATTTAAAGAAAAACTTAGAAATAATAGATTTGACATTTTTTGTCAGTCACAAACTGTCAGAAGTCTGTTTAATGCTGTTTACTTTATTTGTTTTTTAGATTTTAGCTTATGTAGAAACAGGCATGTTGCAAGAAACAAAGCCACACATCACGCTGTTTATTGCCCAAGCAAAATTAATCCTGTCCTAGATGTGCTTTTTAAAGTACGCAAAACTTTGCATCACATACTTTACAGCTGAAATATAAAAGTTTGAAAACAAATGTTCTCCGTTCTCTTTGGTTTCTTTACTACTTAGCAAGTCGTTTGCAAGTGTTTGCAGACAAGCCGGTGTCTTCCACACAAAGAGCCGGTGACTGCACTTTACTCGCCAAAGAAATGCCAGCAACGTACCCACAACCACTCGCCAACATGTTGAGCAATACATGTTTTTCCCTAGTGGTTACCAGTGGGTCATTGGCAGATCTGTAGGTCAGAGCAAGTTTGGCTTGAACAAGCAATTTCACAGCAACTGCCAGCAACCGACAACTGTTGGCAAATACTCAGTTTTAGCAACCGGTGGTTGCCAGGCGATTGCAGCCTCTAGGCCTGTGCGACCGGAGCCTTCGATACGAAGCCCCTGGTCACTTTTGTTCAGTGCCAGTTCCAATAAAGCTTTTGCAAACACGAGGTTTGTATCCTCAGGACTGACATGAGGGGAAAAAAAGAGATGATGGAACGTTTTCTCTGGGAAAATTTCAACCTGAAATTGCATTATGTAGTTCATTATGAATGTGGTTCAATTGAGCAGAGACTTTTAAAATTATATTGAGAGTAAATAGCTCACTCTTTTACTTATTGACAGTGTTCAGTATTTTAGCAGCCTAACTGTTAAACGCTTTTGTTAAATGACTTTAACCACATTGCTAACACATACAGTAGCTCACTCCTGTAGCCGTTCCTCTCTGCAGGGTGAGGGTTTTGCCATGTGCAGGTAAATCCAGCCGCTCATCCAATGAAGGCATTAAGAGCTCAGACAAATCAAACAAAGAACTCCAGCCATGTGGCATCTCATAGATTAGAACTGGGAGAAATTCACCACACCCTGAGCACGCCAAAATTTGTGTTAAAATGACTATACTTGGAGTGGTTGGATGAGGACTGGAGGCTCTAGTTCCTTTGATTTAGTTTTCCTTGCTTTTTCTTGATAACAAGACGTACTGAAGGTCACATTTTTAGTCTGGTGGTGGAAAAGATCATTTGCGACGCCGGAGGGTTTGTGAGGGAAAGGAACAGACGATGACTGATGATGAGCAAAGAAAGCGGAGAGAGACTCCCAAAAAGACAAATTTACTTTAAGTTTTGAGTCAGTATCCTGACAAACAGCCTTCAGCTGATACCAAGGTCACTGTGACACCACTGCCTGCCTCAGTCTCCATGACAACCCCCTGAGCTACATCTAAAAAGTATTTGAAAGACAGCTAGACACGTTGTTTCAGATCAGCAAAGAAGGCCGTGCACTAAACTCCGCTTAGTTTACACTATTCGACTTTGTTTCCATGGTCTCGTATCTTGTCGTGGGAAATTCCAGACTTCCTTTGCTATATTTAAACTCAATGTTGTGCACAGTGTGTAGCCATGGAGAAGCCTCTAAGATGACTAAATAGTGTCACTTTAGGTCAGCTGACAACCAGGTTTCCCCTCATTATGCCCTTCTCATTTATTAAAAAAAAATTATAATAATAAAGCAAGAGCACTAAAAGAGCATCGATGCACCACTTTCCTGATTCTGATTTTGCTTTCTAACAAATATAAATTTGCATTGTTTATAAAAAAATTGAACAATAAAAATATTTTCCACAGCTACACCTGATTATACTTTTTTTCATTTAATCACACACTTGGATAGATCTTGGAATAAAGTGCTCCATGTTACTGGGCAGAATTGACATTGTAAATGTGACTTACCCAACATGTTGTACCTTCTTGTAAAGCTTCCAATTTTAAAGGAACTTATCTCCTAATCACTTGAATTTGAGAATAAATGTCAGACTAACGCTTACATCCAGTGTTGAAGAAAATGGCCAACTCTGACCACAGTGGTAGAAAGAAAGAAAGGTGTGTACTCAAAAGCACTGTAAAACCATTTAATATCACATTGTTATGTAAATGAAATTGATTTTAAATGGCAGATAGATGCATTGCACTTATTCCAAAAGCTAAATTAATTTGATGAGTGTGGCTTATGTTAGCCAGTTGGCATGTTTTTACAGTACTCTGGTCAGGTGGTTATGCTTGTTTCTGCAGCCTTCATGGAGCCACCTATTTTTGGTAGTGCTAGTAGTGCTACTGGTAGTGCTATTTTTGCTATTTTTGTCAAACTCTTGAACGACACACTGCACATCATACCAAGATTTATGTTTTAGCTAATAGCTCTTTGAGAATCTCCCTGTTGAAAAACCTTAAGAAAGCCCGGGGATCTGTTGCTCAAGATCATTGAGCAATAAAGTTTCACAAAAGTGTGACTCTTTGGAAGCAAAATAAAAGATGATCAGCAGGCCAACGTTTACTCTATTATTATGATAGGAAGGTCAAAGCTAATTAGCTGAAAAGCCAGTGACCAGGTGATGCATATCTACTTCAAACTACTATTTTCCCCAGCTGACAGCCTTTGTAGCTACAGGAATAACACTCTGCTGCCTCTTTTTTTTTTATATATATAATTGGTCTCTGGAAATGTAAAGGATTTAGCAGCTTTGTCTGTTGCCAAACATACGCCACAGTGCCTAATATCCTTTTCATTCATTACGCCTTCTTCTCTGCCTGGTTGCTTTTATGAATAAGTGAGAGCAGAGGTCTTAACGAGTTAGGCATTATGAAGCATATCTCTGTTTTTAATAACAAAAAGGGAGGGCTGTGTGAGCTCTGCAGGCTGTGGGTTTGTTATAGGTCTCTGCTGTCGTGTTCAGAGGTGGATCATTATCGTGTTGCCCTCACAGCTCATGGATATGAGATTAGCGGAAGCCCTAAAGGCCACTGTTGCATTCTGCTGAATGGTTAATGGAGAGGAAAGCCTGTAACTTGCGGGTGAAATTTCCTTATTTGCCTCTGAAATATGATGAACACGCTGTTGCGTGCGCTGGATGAGTCCTATAATTTTCCCTATAATCAATTTTTTCAGTATCATAAGCCTGTACCAGTTCCTGCTCAAAGCTAGAGATGCCTCATAGTACAGTCAGTGCCTGTGGTGAGACGTGTGCTGGCGTCATGGCAGCTTTCTTTGGTTTGCCCACAGTTAGGAGGGATTCACTCTGGTCAGGGTGTGTCTGCTTTGTGATGGCATCTCTCCGTCTGGAATATAGCACATTCATGTTGTTTACCTTTGTGCTGGGGTGCATACGAGTGACTAATGGGTTCTGTTTTGCCAAATTAGAAAACTGTAGGGTGCTCCGTATGGCACATGAAAGTTATTTTATTTGTTGTAAAAATTTCCACCATGTGTTTGTGATGTCGTACAAAGAAATCGGGCAATCCCTGCTTCATTTTTCCCGTTTCTTTCTTTTTCTAAACTCGAGACAGCTGTCTTTGCTCTTATCTGTTGGCCTTCTTGTTTCCAGTACTTGGTCCCTTCTTCATCATGAGTCTTGAGAAATGCCAAGCTATGACTGGCCAGCGACCAACTTGTAGTTTGTGCTGTCTCTGCCAAGGCACAGCAAGAAATTATGACTTGTTTTTGACTCAATTGACAGTGTGACCATCTTGTCAGACAAAATATTGTGCTGTCTCCAGGCTCGATATGAAGCAGATGGACACAGAAGATGAAGCTCGGCTCATTTGTAGCAGATCAGAAAACATAAATGTGATGTCTTTATATTTACAGCATTTTGTAATAATTTAGTCTCTGCTACATTTAATCGTACCCAAATTACTTGTTGTTATTCAGTGGATATCAGTGTCCTGCTGCAGTACAACTTACATAAATGTTTCAATGTGTTCCTCTGGGTGTTTGTTGGCGTGTCACCTTCCCTGCTGTCATTGCCATTTACAATCTCTTTGCAGTATTCAGGCGGAAGGTCTAAAGGGAGAATAGAGTAGCTAGCGGGGCTTCCACCTTGTGCTGCGTGTGAAGTGGCTGCTAAGAGGCTGTGAACAGGGAGTGCTTTGTTTGTCCGGCGGAAGAAAGCGGTGCCTCGCATTGAGAACCTCTCTGTGATACCCCGAATAGAGAGGGAGGACGGGAAGAAAGGGTGTATGTGTTTTTGGATGCGTTCTCCTTAAATTCAGTCTCCATTGCATAATTTGATTTCACGCAATTCACCCAGAGGCACTGAAAATACAGCAAGAGAGAGTAAAGCCTCTCTCATTTACCTGCGATAGATGTCTGATTCAATCATAGTTACATCAAGTTTTTCATGAGTAAGTGTTGGATATGGAAAGATGGGACATGATGGAAAAACAAAGTAATTTATCAAGAAAGACACCTGAAGAAACTCAAAGATGGCTCTTGGCTACCAGTTTGGTCAACACTTTCTATTAGAGGTGATGACGTACCTCTCCTCTGCTTGCATGGTGAAACAGAGAGAAGAGGAGAGAAACTTGACCAAATAAAGATATTAACTATTAAGCATTTATAGTTAA